ATTATTATTATTGACTTCTCGTGGCCAGAGTCTTCCAGCTGATGAAGACCCGTTAACCCCTCCTGACACCTCTTGTTCCCAGTCTTCCCCCTCTGACCACTCCTTGTTGTCCCACCACTACACCCTGGACTCTGAGCCTTCTTGCCTTGGGGGTTCTCCTGCTGGTTCCCCCCACCATTCCTCTGCAGCAAACCGGTCCATGACGGTATCTGACCATTTAAAAAAAAGACAGCTTTCACAGTATTAACTTTATGTGATGCATTTATGCAGATGCTGAACAATATTAAACAAACACGTTTACTCAAATAAGCCCCTTTTCCTCTCTGTTCATTATTCAATGGAAAGCAAATGGAATCTTGTGTATTGCGCTTATTTTTGCTAAGCATTATCTGGTTTCCTAATACAAGAGAACACTTGTGTGTGCAGTTTTCGTCAATTCCTTCAGTAAGGATAAAGAAACAGCACCACATGCCCCCTGGCCACGCGAGGCGAAAGAAAAAGTCAGTGGCTGTGATCCAGAGCTCATCATATGCTGTTATCGGTTGCTGTTATCGGTAGCCTGAGGAAGTGGGCAGGGCAGTGGTTCCACACTGCAAAATATCTATGCCCTGCAATGCAGACAAGGAATCTGCATTCATAGATCTCACTCCAGAAAGCAAATCTACATGGAAAAATTGTTTGTTTATCAGTCCTGGAACTCAGCCAGCAGAGGGAGGAGGATTTAAGGAAACCCAGAATCACTTGGTTTTGCCTGTCATCGCCTCTACCGCCACCTACTGCTGAGCTCCTGGAATCCTGCCCCACCAGCCTCACTGAACCCGGTCCATCTGGGGCACTTGCCTGCCAACAGCCTTTGTGACAGGTTAGTCTAATTGCAGGAACTTCTTCAGGGGATTTGAACCAGGATGAGTCGCATGAATGTCTAGTATTCCTTCTACCTTGGGTCTTGTTCCTCAAGCCTGTGCCTTCAGTGCCCAGCTAGGACTGGGCAGGCTTTGGGAGATGAAGACAAACACTTTGGAGCCCAGCAGACACAGAAGCAAAGGACAGGGCTTATCCAGAAAGCTCAGAGATAAAAGTCACTCACTAGTTTTTTCAGACAAAAGAAAAAAATCTGTTTGCTGCTCATTGGGTGTGATGCGCAGCGTAAACTAATAATGCAGAGTTTTAAAGAATAAAAGCTTTACTGAATTAAAATAAACTTCTTCATAAACAACATGGTTCCAAACAGTTTGACTGAGATTACATACTGATCACAACTGAGGCAGACTGACTCTGACTGAAATCTTACAGAGAACACAGAGAAAATGGCTGCCACGTCCCCTGCCAGAGGGACTCCACAGTTACCAGTTAGGCCTGAATAACTTGAGTAGGTCCAAATGATTGTGCAGTCCCAGCACCTCCCAGCCTGCGTTGCTGCTTCTGCTCTCATGTGTCTTTTCACATGACAGGGTGTGCATAGAAGACTAACTAACATCAATAAACATCTCTCCACTGGTGGAATTTAAGCACAGTTGATCTAGTGTGCTATAACACAGGTGTGGCCTTCCACTTCAACCCATGGTTGGATGAAAGGCCAACAATCATGTGCATAGAAGGACCCTGGGAAGAAGAGGTTTTCGGTGTGCTCTTCCAGCCAGGTGACTCTTTCAAGCTGTTGTCAAGAACAACTGCTATCAGATATCAATCAATGGCAACAGCTTCCTGAAATATGATCACACCTCCCTGTCAACACAGTGCAAACTTTGCAGTTCACAGAGGATATTTACTCCATCAAATCCAATATTTAAGGAATTGCTGTGTGTCTCTGTGCCATGGTCCTTCTGGACCATGAAAAACAACCAGAAAGAGCTGAAAATGTGACCATCTCCTACATGCAAAATGACTGCAAATCTCCATACTTCTTTAATAACTTTGCTCTTCAGGTCTCCAGTGTGTTCTCCTTTCATGAAATAGAACAACAAAAGTGCATAGCTTTTTACTCTGGATGAGTGCTGCGTCAAAGCATCTGACTTGCAAACCTAAAACTTCTGTAAAGTATCCAGCAAAGACCTTAAACTGGTTCATCATTGACCATCATGTTCCCAGAATAAACTCTGGGGAAATGTAGTTCTGAAAGGGGAAATAAGGCTAAATCTCACAAACCTTGCCGAACCACCCTTTCCCTCTGTTGCCTCCCTGTTATGCAATAAAATAAATGCCTTTCAAGATATAATGTGAATGCAGTGTTCAGTCTTATCCAATATGCTCTGTTGAATTGCAGTTTTGATTGTATTAGTTAATTTTATGTGATGTTGTGGACTTTATGTATTGCAAGGGGACTGGGGACTAGTATGGTGAAGAGTGTATTATAAATATACCAAATGAATGAAAATAAATACACTGTGCTGGCTACCTATTACTTGCTTGTAAGTGCTGAACTATCAATTGTTACATAAAATAACTATCTGCTATTTTTCTAGCTCTTGTTTCCTAAGAGGCTGTATTATTAAAGTGATATTTGCACCCAAAGTTGCTTCTTGCCTGTAGCTAATACCACAGCGTCATTAATGCGTATATGTGGGTAATGTTTTATTATGTTTTTATATATGTTGGAAGCTGTCCAGAGTGGCTGGGGCAACCTAGTCAGATGGGCAGGGTAGAAACAATAAGTTTATTATCATCATCATCTAAATCAATTAGCATATGTTAATGAATCAGAAAGTGACAGATGGGGCTTCTGTCTCTGAGTTTTAAAGAAGTCTGTAGTTCTGCTGTCCATCGTCTCCCATAGTCTTGCAATAATGGTCCGAACTTTGCCAGTGCATGTGGACATTTTTCAAAAACTTTTTATGCAAACTGCTTAACCATTCTGAATAATGTTATATAAATATGAGAAATAAATAAGTATTTCAGATATATGGAAGTGATGAATGCTCTCTCACCCTTTTGTCCCATTGAGTAATGGCTATTTGGTCTTCCCTCTATCTCTACAAGAGAAGATGCCTTTGTGCAGGGGTTGCTAAACTTTTTTTACCCAGAGAGCCGCATCGCCCTGCTGCAATCTCTTGGTGTGAGGCGTCAAACGTGAGCAGTGACTTGTGCCCCAAAAGTGGGCATGGCTACCTGACAGTCTCTCACAGACAGAAATACATGCACACACTACATGCAGATGCATCCCACAAATGTTGGCACACACCTACAAATGTTCCCAGGTTTCCCAGAGGCCTCTGACTGGTCCCTGTGAGATGGGCCTTTGGTCTGATGAAGTTGGCAACGGAGGCTGCCCAATTAGGGCATTGTCCCACCAAGGGAAATGCCAAGCAATTATTTTTATAGTTTTCCCTAAATCTCAAAGCCACACTTTTTATTGCCCCCTCCATACTCAAGTCCTTTCACTTGAACTTTGAGAGACTCCTGGATTTTTCTGTCAATCTCCCACTCCCCAGCCAGTCAGCTCTCTGCACCACTCAGCCAGTCACCATGTAAGGCCCAAAAGACCTCAGCCATCTCTCTTCTAGGCAGGAACAAAAATGTGAGAAATTTGTATTTTACTAGAGCTGCAGATTCCTTTGCCCTGTTTTGCTGGTTCCAGCCTCTTGTTGTCACAACAGCAATCCAGTCATCGTGTACAAGGCCAGAAGGGCTGCTGCTGCTGCTGTGATGGAAGATGCCTTAGCTTGTTAAGTCAAGGAGGACACGCATTTCTTTGGGGCCAGCAAATGGATGCTGCAAACCTGGCAACACTGGATTTGCCAAGGAGGTGCATGTAAAGTCCAGTGTTTGCAGGCCTGAATATCCTCCACCAATCCCGCCACCAAATTCAAGTGGGTGGGTACAGAAATAAGTTTGGAGAGGGGCAGGATCAGCCTGCAGACCAGCAGGTCAAGGCTGGAGAGAGAGAGGTTTGGAAGAGAGATTTCTTACTCTCTCGTAGCTGAGATAAGCACAATGGTGATTGCTCCAAGCACATGAAAATTTGTGTAGATTTGTTCCCCACAAAAATGCTTCAGCTAGGCTAGAATAAATTGCAGAATCTTAGCTATGCAAATAAGTGAATGTTTTACTCAAAGTCTTTCCAGAATTAACAGCAAACAAGTCTCCATCTGTTAGCAGTAAAATGAAGATGAAAAAGGTTCCAAATGACCACAGTTATCTAGTATTATCTGGTGAAGGCAGTTGGGAGTTTGGTGGGGTCCCAGACTTCACAATCCATACTACCTAAAGTTAAGAGATTGTTTTTAAGCATTTACATTCTTGGACAGTGGATTTTCAATGACAAAAATAAAATTACTTAGAGTACACAAGGACACATCTGTCTTCATTCTCTTTTTTCAATTCTGCCCCCTGAGTTTATCTTATCAGCAAAAGTAGACCTTCTTCATCCTCTTTAACCATCAATAAACTAAAAATACCCTACATGATTAACATCATTAGCTCAGGCACTTGCATTAATTAACTATGTTCGCAGAGCTTCTGTTTCTTTTATGGACACAGGAAAATTTTGTACTGTAGACAAATCATCGGTGTTGCTTGTCGCTGCTAAAGGGAGGCTCTTTCGGGCTATGTAAAATCCTCGCCTTTTCAATTAGGTCTATGGAAATCTATGTGTTGTTTTGGTTATGTCTCTAAACACGTAACCTCTGGCTTGAAAGGTGACAAGATCTGTGAAATTTTGGCTCCTGAAAATAAAAATAAGTCAAAAATAGACGATTCATTCAAACAAGATTTGCATGATACTTCCAATAATTATTGAATTTGACATAGTAAAACTGCATCAATTTTTGCAAATGAACAGCAGCTAGCAGCAAAAGAGAATACCAGTATTTATATGTGGAATTTCACCCCAGTCACAGGCAAAATCTAGGACTGAAGCAGCATCCCCAGCATCTCTCCCTGCCTCTTGTTCTCTCATTGGCTCCTCAGAGCTCTGACTGGGCAGGTTCCCAAGGGGAGGGGCTGCTCCAGACGGAGAAAGAGCTCCAAGCAGGTGCTAAAACGCCAGACTCTCAAGCCCCGGCATGCGGGAAGCGGGGAAGGCGGGTGGGATGGAGCAGCGAGCCCATGGGGAACAGCACATCCTGCCAGGCTGTGAGGAAGCCCTTGCCTCTTCTTGACTACCACTTGCCACATCTCCGCTGAAAAGAGCACAATTCGGCATAGACAGTAGTCAAGGAATTACTTCTGATCTGGAAACCAAGAGCAGAGCTTGGAGGGATGTACTGTGCAAAACTCAAGACACAGGTATTTCGAAATTCTTTTCTAACTTTTAAGAACATTTTTGCTCAAGGGTATATCTGAGGGTTCTGCACGTGTGTGTGTGTGTGTGTGTGTGTGTGTGTGTGAAATATGAGGTCATTTTAAGAATAACTTTTGTTGTCTGGGTAATGCCTTGCTCCACAAGAGAATACATAGTTGAAGGAGGGGCTTTTGTACAGCTGCAATCTGCACAATACAGTGTGTCACATCTTTGGAGCTGCAAGTCTAAATAGAAAGCTTGCTGAGGAATCCTTGGCCTTTATTAATGCTCCTTTAGGCTTCCACAATGGAATCGGTGTTCCCCAGTTACAAAGTTTGGGCATCATCCCGTCAAATTTAGTTCCCATTGTTTTCAAGGAAATGTGATTTCAGTAAACGAGATTTAAGAAACTTGCAAGGCACCTTTAAAACAAGAGACTGAGATTAAAATTGATTGGCTTATTTAAAATAAAGATAATGTACTAATAGGGGGTTCAGATTGTTGCAGCTATCATGTCTAGAATCTTTTACTTGCTGATGTGCTATATTTATTTAAAGTACAAAAGATTTGGATTACAGCAGCATTAATCTGACAATAACACCTGCACTTTTAGGGGTTTTCAAATGGCTTTAACTGAAAACCAGTTATCCATTTTGCCTGTTGAAGAGCTTCACATACTCCCAAAAGAAGATGATGGTGCAAAAAAAGGTCCTATTTTGTGCCCCTCTTTCAATTTTAAATGAACCAAAATGTTATTTTGTTGATCTCTCAGAAAAGGTAAGAATTCCAGGTGAAGATCCACAGTACAATCGGAATGCTAGCAGCAGCATTTCAAGTTAATAAGAGCTACTCTGGTATTCCCTTCTCTTCCTTTTCAGGCAATAATTTAGGCAGGAGGCAACTTGAATAATATATGACAATAAAGAAAGTGAAGGAGGTGCTTTAGTTTAGTTTATAAGCTTTTAGTGTGAGGGTTGTGACCATTCAGTTGTGTCTAATTATGGTGGATCCTATTCATGTCACAACCACTATTTTTCTTTGTCTTTTTACACTTTAACAGGAGAAAGAGAGAGAATGAAAAAGGCAAATATGCATAACTAAAATATAAAAATTCCTGTATCTGGTGATGGGAGTTAAATGGGAATGGCAGGTCTGGAAAGGTTGATGAAGGCTGTCCTATTAGACACTGACAGCAATCTAGCACTGTGGTCCTCAACCAACTCTTCCAAAGTTGTCCAATATGACTGTAAAACCACCCAAATCCTGTGGGGTGGAATTCATAAAATCATTACTTAAATCGCAGGGCTAAATTGTTTTGAGCGAAAGGGAGTCCAAGGCTGGCCATCCACCCATTGAGTCCACTCTTTTCTCTCTCACATTTTTTCTGTATTGCATTCAAATATAAGTCCATCCTGTCACTCTTTCTTGCTTGACCCACAGAAACCAGCAGAATCTGCCATTTGTTTGGTAGATACTGTATAAGAAAAGGTAAAAAACAAACAAACCCTAAACCTCCAGAGATGGTACAGGCATTTACCTTCTGCTGTCACGATATATTTGTAAAATACTACATCTAAGCTTTTCACCATGCTTCCTCCCTTGCCCGACTTGGGATGTGATATTTAAATATCTTTAATACAGGACAGCTAGATGCAGGGCAGAGTGTCGGGGAATTTCTTTCCAAGGCTTCCTTGGCTCACATCCCCCGCTGACACCCTTCTTTCCCTCCGTTCTGCTTGTTACGTCTTCTCCTCCACCACAGAAAGCTCTTCAGGACTGGGACTTAGTGTTTTGTTTTTGCCTACATTGCCCTTTCAAGTTCTTCAGGCAAATTAGGACATAGCTCAAAAGGGTGTACTGTGTTTTCAAAGAAAACTCAACAAAACCATTCTTAGTATAAAATAAAGAGTTCTAAAATACTTTCTTGCATGTAAGTCTCCTGATATGGCCAGGTAATTGCATCTGCATAATAAAATCCATCCCTTCACTATTATAATTAATAATTATTTGATTATATCTTTGAGCTGGTGCTTCTCATGTTTTACCATCAACTTTAAGGGTCTGCCTGCCTCCACCCAAGTTGGAATATCGTTCAGAGGTAGAACTAAGAACTATTTATTAAATGATTGAACATATAGACGAAATTCTGCTGGAAAGTTTTTTTTATTTCTCTGTATGGAAACCCTTGGTAAATAGCAGAGAGAAGATTTCCTGGTGGAAAAGCACCACTTCCAGCCAGGGTGAAAGTCAAGCAGGTCTTTCCCCCCCATTTTGTTTCAGTGTCTCCCTTAAAAAAATAAAAATCGCTCCCATCGAAGTGAATGGGAAGGAAAGCCACTTCAGGTCTTGCAACAGACATGACTAAGACCTGTTATTTTCAATAGGTCTACTCTGAGTAGTTTTGTTGTTGTTGTTTAGTAGTTTAGTTGTGTCCGACTCTTCGTGACCCCATGGACCAGAGCACGCCAGGCACTCCTGTCTTCCACTGCCTCCCGCAGTTTGGTCAGACTCATGTTTGTAGCTTCGAGAACACTGTCCAACCATCTCATCCTCTGTCGTCCCCTTCTTCTTGTGCCCTCAATCTTTCCCAACATCAGGGTCTTTTCCAGGGAGTCTTCTCTTCTCATGAGGTGGCCAAAGTATTGGAGCCTCAGCTTCATGATCTGTCCTTCCAGGGAGCACTCAGGGCTGATTTCCTTAAGAATGGATACGTTTGATCTTCTTGCAGTCCATGGGACTCTCAAGAGTCTCCTCCAGCACCATAATTCAAAAGCATCAATTCTTCGGCAATCAGCCTTCTTTATGGTCCAGCTCTCACTTCCATACATCACTACTGGGAAAACCATGGCTTTTACTATACGGACCTTTGTTGGCAAGGTGATGTCTCTGCTATTTAAGATGTTGTCTAGATTTGCCATCGCCTTTCTCCCAAGGAGCAGGCGTCTTTTACTTTCGTGACTGCTGTCACCATCTGCAGTGATCATGGAGCCCAAGAAAGTAAAATCTCTCACTGCCTCCATTTCTTTCCCCTCTATTTGCCAGGAGGTGATGGGCCCAGTGGCCATGATCTTCGTTTTTTTGATGTTGAGGTTGTTGATATTTCTTCCAGCGATCTTAATTCCGGCTTGGGATTCATCCAGCCCAGCCTTTCACATAATGAATTCTGCATTTAAGTTAAATAAGCAGGGAGACAATATACAGCCTTGCCGTACTCCTTTCCCAATTTTGAACCAATCAGTTGTTCCATATCCAGTTCTAACTGTAGCTTCTTGTCCCACATAGAGATTTCTCAGGAGACAGATGAGGTGATCAGGCACTCCCATTTCTTTGAGAACTTGCCATAGTTTGCTGCAGTCAAAGGCTTTTGCATAGTCAATGAAGCAGAAGTAGATGTCTTTCTGGAACTCTCTAGCTTTCTCCATAATCCAGCGCATGTTTGCAATTTGGTCTCTGGTTCCTCTGCCCCTTCGAAATCCAGCTTGCACTTCTGGGAGTTCTCAGTCCACATACTGCTTAAGCCTGCCTTGTATAATTTTAAGCATAACCTTGCTAGCGTGTGAAATGAGTGCAATTGTGCGGTAGTTGGAGCATTCTTTGGCACTGCCCTTCTTTGGGATTGGGATATAGACTGATCTTCTCCAATCCTCTGGCCACTGCTGAGTTTTCCAAATTTGCTGGCATATTGAGTGTAGCACCTTAACAGCATCATCTTTTAAAATTTTAAATAGTTCAGCTAGAATATCATCACTTCCACTGGCCTTGTTATTAGCAGTGCTTTCTAAGGCCCATTTGACTTCACTCTCCAGGATGTCTGCTCAAGGTCAGCAACCACACTACCTGGGGTATACGAGACATCCATTTCTTTCTGGTATAATTCCTCTGTGTATTCTTGCCACCTCTTCTTCATGTCTTCTGCTTCTGTTAGGTCCTTTCCACTTTTGTCTTTTATTATGGTAATCTTTGTACGAAATGTTCCTTTCATATCTCCAATTTTCTTGAACAGATCTCTGGTTCTTCCCATTCCGTTGTTTTCCTCTATTTCTTTGCATTGCTCGTTTAAGAAGGCCTTCTTCTCTCTCCTTGCTATTTTTTGGAAATCTGCATTCAATTTCCTGTATCTTTCACTATCTCCCTCGCATTTTGCTTGCCTTCTCTCCCCCGCTATTTGTAAGGCCTCGTTGGACAGCCACTTTGATTTCTTGCATTTCCTTTTCATTGGGATGGTTTCCGTTGCTGCCTCCTGTATAATGTTACGAGCCTCCATCCATAGTTCTTCAGGCACTCTGTCCACCAAATCTAAATCCTTAAACCTGTTCCTCACTTCCACTGTGTATTCATAAGGGATTTGACTTAGATTGTATCTTACCGGCCCAGTGGTTTTTCCTACTTTCTTCAGTTTAAGCTTGAATTTTGCTGTAAGAAGCTGATGATCTGAGCCACAGTCAGCTCCAGGTCTTGTTTTTGCTGACTGTGTAGAGCTTCTCCATCTTTGGCTGCAGAGAATATAATCAATCTGATTTCGATGCTGCCCATCTGGTGATGTCCATGTGTAGAGTCGTCTCTTGTGTTGTTGGAACAGAGTGTTTGTGATGACCAGCTTGTTCTCTTGGCAGAACTCTATTAGCCTTTGCCCTGCTTCGTTTTGAATTCCAAGGCCAAACTTGCCAGTTGTTCCTTTTATCTCTTGACTCCCTACTTTAGCATTCATTCCAATCCCCTATAATGAGAAGAACATCCTTCTCTGGTGTCATTTCTATAAGGTGTTGTAAGTCTTCATAGAATTGGTCAATTTCAGTTTCTTCAGCACCAGTGGTTGGTGCATAAACTTGGATTACTGTGATGTTAAAAGGTCTGTGTGCTGGTCCAGGGGGAAGGTTACCGTGGGGCGAGGTCTAGGACCTGAGTCGAGGGTCGGCAGACAGTCCTCCACGGGCGAAGCGGGGTCCACAGCGAGGAGCCGGGCAAGGACAGAAACTCTGGGGGAACCGGACTGGGTGCTGGCCGAAACAGCTCTTCAACGATGTTGCTCCCGCAACCTGGGACCGGGCTGACTGGCCTTTATCTTCTCTGAGGCCAGGGGCGGTCCTGGCCCCTAGGAGACCTGCCTCTCCTGGCCTTAAGGCGAGCACTCCTCCTGGGAGAAACCAGTTCCCTTCGCCTCTCTGCCCTGAGCCTCTGCAGTTCAGGAGAGGCTGAAGGGTTACTGGACCCAGGGGGAGACTCACTTGTAGGCACTGAGTCCTCAACCACCTCCGGAGCCATTGGACTTTCCTTTCGCTTCCAGGCATATCCGCAACTGAGCGTCCTTTCGGCTTTGGCCCAGCGCTTCATCAGCTCTGAATCTACTTGTACTTGTCCTCTGCTCTTCCTCAGTAGCATGTTGGACGCCTTCCGACCTGAGGGGCTCATCTTCCAGCATCATAACTTTTATATGCCTGTTGCCTTTGTCCATGGAGTTTTCTTGGCAGGGATACTGGAGTGGCTTGCCGGTTCCTGCTCCAGGTGGATCACATTTGGTCAAAACTCTCCACTATGACCTGTCCATCTTGGGTGGCCCTGCTTGGCATAGTTCATAGCTTCTCTGAGTTATTCAAGCCCCTTCGCCACGGCAAGACAGTGATCCATGAAGGGGACTCTGAGTAGTACATAGATTCAATTTCTTACCCTCCCTTCACCGTAAGGTCCCAGAATAGGTTACAGCAATATAAAACGTTAAAATTTGTTGGATGCATTCCTTATACATTTGGGCAGCTGTAGAATTGCACCCTAAATAAAAAATAAGATCTTTGATGGTGTTTCAGGGATTCCTTCCTCTTGGCACTCTCAAGGAATGTGGGCTGAGGCGCAACCTTTAGCCATCTGTCCTCAAACAAGTCCTCCATTCTGGTTCCAGTTAAGCCCCACGGAAGGCTTTCCAGAAGCCCAATGGTGTCCTGGGAGGGATGTTTGAGGTGTGGAAATCACAGCGCACAGGCAGGGAGGGCCATCCTTCTGCCTGCAGCTGCAGCTCTCAGTATTATTGCTACTGCAGTGGTAACCTCGGGTTAAGAACTTAATTCGTTCTGGAGGTCTGTTCTTAACCTGAAACTGTTCTTAACCTGAAGCATCACTTTAGCTAATGGGGCCTCCTGCTGCCGCCGTGCAATTTCTGTTCTCATCCTGAAGCAAAGTTCTTAACCCGAGGTACTATTTCTGGGTTAGCAGAGTTTGTAACCTGAAGCGTCCGTAACCCGAGGTACCACTGCATTTACTTCCATATTATTAATTATTAGGCTTGTTTGCCCCAGCTGACCATTCCCCTGCCCAGCACATGAATAATTATAAGAATAAATTTTGCGTTAAAATTGTTACGTGGTTACATCTTCTAAGTACCAGACCATTAACAGGGCAGTGCTTAGCATGCCTACTCAGAAGTAAGCCTCCACATTCAATGACGCTTACACCCATGTAAGTGTGCATAGAAGTGCCCTGTTGGTGCAGCCAACAAAATCAGAGGTGGCCATTTCACATTAAAAACTTCCATCAAATAGGAATAAGGTTTTGGTATTTCCCCATTTTTATAAATGAAAAGGTTTCTAGATTTGTAGCATTGTGCCAGGTATGCGTCATTAATATTATTCTACTTCTCAGGTACTAATTTCTATTTGACTGAAATGGACTCAAAACAAAATATCTCATCTGAAGATGGCTCTCTTCCTCCCTATGAGCAACATGAAGACCCCTTTGAATCAAAACTTTCAAAAGAAGCTGACATAGTTGCTGGATTTTATTTATTAATAATTGGTAAGATTTTCAAATTATTCCCATGAATATACCGTATAGTACTATCTCTGGATGTCTGCAAAGGAACTAGATATATCCAAATATCAACCATGAAAATAAAGTGTGGGTGGATAATATTAGTTTTGATTTCCATCGCGCCCTAATCTGATGGGGGACCCCACCCCCCTTTATCCCCCCTTTGGCAGCTTCATGATAGCCATTTTCCTGTTATTAGATGGTTATGGGGATTCCAAAATGTATTGCGAATGGAAGCTTCATAAGCCATTCATCTGTTAAAATTTGGCCTCAAGGTGGCTCACATTATGTCAAATCAATAACAATAAATATAACAGAACACATATTGGGGGAAATTACAAATAATCATAACAGGTAGAATTCACCACTGCGGGGGAGGCGCCTCTGCTTGTGCAGCAAAGCTTTGCGTACTTTTCCTCTCCCTACAGCCCCCTTTGCATCTCCAAAATCTGCCCTAGAGCATCTGCCCAACCCTCTGGGGCAGATTTTGAGCTGCACAGAGGGATGCAGGGGGAAGAAGAGGAAAAGGAAACCTTGTCATGCAAGCCAAAGTCTGTCATCTAGTCCAACCACTGCAATGCAATCTTGTGCCCAAGGTGGGGCTTGAACCCACAACCCTGAGATGAGGAGTCCCGTGGCCTCGGCCCTGTAGGAAGACATGCCAGGGTTTCAAGCCTTTGCTCAAATGGGAAGCCCTGATCCACAAGAGGCACCCATGTAAAGGCCTCCCATGAAAACGATGGAAAGGGGCATGTATGGCGGAAGAGGCTTGTGCTCTTGGCCCTCCAAGGCTTGAGGGGCTGCCGCGTCAGAAGCATGCAGGGGCCCCTTTATTGGCTTCCTGGTTTTCCAGAACCTTGAGCCCAAGAAGGGAAGCGAAGAGGAAGGAATCGGCTTGGGAGCCTCGGGGCGAAAAAGAGAGAGGGCCGCCATCCCCGTCCCGGGGCGCCCCAAGACCCGAGTGAGTAGCGCTGAACTCGCCGAAAATCAAGACAATAGGGACAAGCACCAGGCTATATCCAAACCTTAAAACAGAAAGCTGACTCAGGAGATCCGCCCGAACTCGTCAGTTCAAATTGCAATTTAAATTACCTTGCCGCAATTACACTACAATAAGACTGAAGACATTTCATCAGAATCTAGAGAGCCGAGACGGAAAAATTCTTTATTGCAACTTACATTGTGCATAAAGACAAAGGAACGGGAGCAAGAGGGGGAAGGGAAACCAGGCGGGAACCCGCCCCCCCCATATCAGAATTAAAGGCAGAAAAACAGAAAACATCCTTGCAAATAAAGCATGGGGAGAAAGAAGCGCGGCGTGGAGGGACGGAGCGGGAAAGCGAAGGATCCCCTCGGGAGGAAGGGCGGCGGCGGCGGCAGAAGATCGGGCTGAGTTGGTCGCGCGGAGGAGCGGAGGAGCATCAAGAGAGCGAAGGGGAAGAGGACAAGGGCTGGAACAGGGAGGAAGGGAGACCAGCAGCGAGCCAAAGGGAAGGAAAATGGCAGTGAGAAGAAGCGGAGTCATCGCCGCCGCCTCCTCCTCACGGCTGGCTGTAAAACAGAAAAACAAAAAACAGGAAGAAACTTCGATGGCCAGAGTGAAGAGATACAACCAGGATGGCAAGGACACCTAGGGGAGGGACAAGGCAACTGCACCTCCAAAGATAGAAATTGGTTTTTTTATATATATAGACCAATACCATCTGCCTCACGACTATAGGAGTATCCCATCCATCCCAACAACAGAATCTACTATTCAGTTCCACAAGACTGCTCAATTAATCAATTTTATAAGCATTTACTAACCTGTATGAATTCAAAGAGCCTGTTGATTTATATTGATGCTATTTGTTCTTGTTTAGTCATTTAGTCGTGTCCGCCTCTTCGTGACCCCCTGGACCAGAGCACGCCAGGCCCTCCTGTCCTCCACTGCCTCTCGCAGTTTGGTCAATCTCATGCTGGTAGCTTCGAGAACACTATCCAACCATCTCGTCCTCTGTCGTCCCCTTCTCCTTGTGCCCTCCATCTTTCCCAACATCAGGGTCTTCTCCAGGGAGTCTTCTCTTCTCACGAGGTGGCCAAAGTATTGGAGTCTCAGCTTCAGGATCTGTCCTTCCAGTGAGCACTCAGGGCTGATTTCCTTCAGAATGGATAGGTTTGATCTTCTTGCAGTCCATGGGCCTCTCAAGAGTCTCCTCCAGCACCATTGATGCTATAAAAAGCAATTGATTGCATGGGTCCCTCAAAGTTTGTAAAGTGATATAATTTGATAAACTGATAAATCTGATACATTGGTATTATGCAATTTAACGGATATAAAGGTGTACAAATAGAATTACAGAAACAAATTAATCCCTTTTTATTTAATTGGGGTGTGATATATTGCTCCACAAGTTATCATTGTTAAAGGAAGGATTTGGAATTTAAGATCTAGTAACCCCAAATGGGGGATAGTTAACTGACCAAGTCCCACCCAGTTCTCTCTAAAATAAGGAAGTACAGATACTGAGGCTCATTTTTAATTTTAATTCTATATATTTTCTTAATCTTTTTATTTTATTTCATTATATTTGTTGGAAAACTGTAAATAATAATCAAAAGGAGTCAACTAAGACTGGGACAAAGTTTATACTTGTGTGTACATAGAGAGACAGTCATAATGGCAAATAAGAAAAATCAAACCACACAAATGACCTCCACAGTAGCCTCAAGACATCAATCAGCTGAACTAGACACCAATGTAGACCAAAGAGAGCTCATCATAGGAATGAATAAATCAATAAATGACAAACTTGATAATATGGGCAGCAAGATAGAACAGAATTCCAAATTAATAATGGATCTATCTGGACAGCTAAAATATTTGACTACCAAGAACATGGAAACAGAGAAAACTGTTCAAGATCTAAAATCCAGAACTAATAAGCATGAGGAACTCACAAAAGAAATAACTAAGAAGATCCATAACGAGAATAAAGACCTGAAGAGGGTCCAGAATACAATCATGGAGGAAACGGCGGAATTAAAGAGTGTGCAGGAGGAAACATCTTGGGATGCATCGAAGAGAACTCATTCTGTGCTTTAGAGGTGACCCAGAAACTCAAGATGAAGATATAGAAGCTAAACTATCAAAAGAGCTCACCAGTTGGCTAGGAGTACAAAAAGATGAATTGCTACAAGATATAGATAAAATATTCAGAATAAGATCAGGAAAACAAACAAGTCAACCAAAGGACCAGGAGATTGCCTGGTCTTTTTGAATTCAAGACTGCTGAAAGATAAAATTTTGCAGAAAAGGAAACTGGTGATTGACGAGAAATATATACAAAGAAATACCAAAAAGACTTCTTAAAAAGAGACTGAATTACAGGACAATAACAGAGGCCTTAAAGAGCAATCATGTAAGGTACAAATGGGAATTCCCTGAGAGGATTTCCTTTACATTTAAAGACAGGAGGAAGACCTTCAGATCTGTTGAAGAAGTTTCAAAATTCTGGCGAAGATATAAGAGAGAACTGGGGGGGGGGGGAGAGGCATCACAGGAAAGCGAAGAGACACTGGAGGCCACGGGAGGGGAGTGATAACAACAAACAGCCCAAATCCATATATTTCTATTGCACGTCTTTGAATATTGAAACTAATAAAAATTGATGAATTTAAATATTATCTCTTGGAATATTAATGGTTTCTTGATGATTAATGGTTTCTTGATTCTGTGGATGAATTTTTGACACAATGAAAATAGAAAACAAAAATGGGTGCTTTTCATTTAAGCAGCCTTTCCATTAGTGTGAATCTATTTTCCGTCAAGGTTTTCTTCTGTGAACACTTTACCATTGAATCCATTGTAGGGTCAAAAAGCTTTATGTCTCATGATTTTATTAATAGTGTTATGAGTTGTGGGGAGGAGGTTAGGCTATATGCCTGAGCCCCTTTCTAATTCCTCGATCCAGCATGGTAATTTCCTGCCCAGTGTGGGTTGGTAAGGAAAGAAAGGGAGTGGCTCTGTGCCAGAGGGCAAATGGGTGCACCCCTCCACTGTCTGTTAGGAAGACAAAAGGCCAGAGTCAAGAGGGGAGGGAGATGAGCTAGAAGCTGGAGGCAAAAGCAGCAGCCTGGGAAGCCAGAGACAGAGCCAGGCCTGAATTCTGCTGGGACCCAAGGCTGTGGCTCTGGGAGAAGCAGGACCTTCTTGGGGTGTTAACACTGGGGACCCCTCCATCGCAGGCTCAGGTTGTATATACAGGTGCCCCCCTCCTTACGTGTGATCATATAGCACGCAACCATGTATATGCGCTAAATAAAAAGAGTCAAACCTGGAAATGGCGGGAGAGAGCTGGAGAGTCCTTGTGGCTCACAAAGAGACCCTCGCTGAAACCTGATGAGGACGTCCATGAGGGCAGAGGAAGCCCCAAAGAGACCAGAGGCACAGCAAGGCTTTGTTTAGGCTGCTCAGCCTCCCTGCCTAACAGCGCACCCTCCAGCCTCCAGCTGCCCCCAGAGCTTCAACTCCAGATATTTTGGTCTGGATTGGGGAGAGAAAGCTGGGAAGCAGGACAAAAAATGGGCATTTAGAGGCTTTTCAGAGGGTGCTCCTCACATGATTTTTGCTTAGGTACTCAGGGGCCTAGCACGTAACCCACGTGCAAGTGGGGGAACACCAGTATTTGTAAATAAACCATATATCATACAGACACCGTTGTCTCCGCCGTGTCTCATTGTCCCAAAGGAAACCTGGACCCTGAGGGAACGCTTGGACCCCCTGGGATCTTGCACAGCTCAGAGATTGGGGTGGCAGGCAACAGTAGTTTTTCCCTAGGACTGTGACCTGCCTATGTGTAAATACACATATACTGTTTTCTCACCATGGTTACATTCAAGATATGAGCCAGTTACAGCTTTTAAGAACATATCTACATCATAGATCTAAAATGGTTTGATAATAGCTCTCTTTACCCAGACAACCTAGGAAAGTATTCTTCTGTGAAGGAGGCTCTTTCTCTTTCAGAAATCTGATTTTCACACAGGTCTTTAGTGTAACTTCTTCTGGAATGAAGTGGGCACCTCCTTCCTCAGGGGACTTGAAATTAGTAACACATCAAAGATGACATCTCTTTGTCCACACTTGATACAGTGCTAATTGTGTAGATGCAATTTGCATGCCCTGTTTTTCCAGTGCAAAGAGCTGTCCTGGAGAGGGTGGGAGAGGCACAGTCCAGGACCGCAGTGGATGGGGCAAAAGGGTTAGTATTTAACTCACACCCTGCCATTCCAATGAAAATTATTGCCCCCCCCCACATCCCAAGGTACCCCAAGGGGACTTCCTTTTTGGCGTTCACCCCCCTCCTCTCCAACTGCACAACAGCATTTGCATTTTTAGACATGCGCAGATTGATGTCACATCTGATGTGGCCTTTGGAGCCCATACTGTGATGATGGTGAAGAAGCTTCATTTTGTTGCGCCATGGGGTGAATCTTGTGGCAAAAGAATGTCAAGGGAACAGCAATGGCTGAGCTCTCCAGCTCTTTATCCTAGTCTTGTTCATTTCAAGAATCTTACAGTTCGTTTTCATTGCTGTGTATGCAAGTGGAGCAGAAATTAATTCAGTTCTGGGGAAAATATTTTGAAGTTTCTTTTGAGTACACCAACACCATTTTTGTTTGATTTTTCATTACAGGGATTATGTCCACTTTAGGCAATGGATATGTCCTTTATATGTCTACACAACGGAAAAAGAAGCTGAGGCCTGCTGAAATAATGACTGTCAATCTAGCAGTGTGCGACCTGGGTATTTCAGGTAATTTAACTTGAGCTGAGCTGAGAATGAAAATATTACCATAGTTCCTGTTCCTATGGACAGGCATGGACTCTACATGGTTTTCACATTCAGATTTCGGTTGGCATCATTTCTGCCTTGAGTAATGATTATAGAAAATCATTAGCAACATTCAAAGGCCCAAACGTTTAGCACTTCCACAGGTTACTTGGTCTAACATATAAGTGATCAACATTGTTAAATTGATTGCTTAAACATGACAGTTTTGTTTTCTTTTTAGCCTTATATTTAATCATTTATTATTTTAAGAAACATTGAAAATTGTGTGTGTGAGAGAGAGAGGGGAGAGAGAGAGAAATTCACAAACAGCAGAAATGAGGAATCCTGCAAATTTAGATGTTCTTACCAAAATTTGCTGTGCTTCCTTGAACCCACTGTACATATTCACTCTGATAGCTACAGTGTGTGTTCTCATGACATCATTCTGTGACATTTTTCATTTAAAAAAAATCCAGTTCTGAAGAAATGTAGCCTTTTTTTAACAAGAATAATGAAATAATTTATATCACTTAAGTTACATTAATATTCAGGTGACTTATTGAAATCACATAATTCACACTTTCAAAACAAAAACAGCAGCTAGAACTGCCATGGTTCATATCTGAAGGCAAATTTGTTCTGGCAAAGCAGTATTAGGAATATCATAGTTAGATATAATTATCTAACCTCCAGCTCCTTCCTGCATTGCAGTTCTTTCATGAAGACTTCTCTCAGTCTCCATGACCTTGCCTGGGCTGTCTTCCATTGCCCCTGTTCCCCCCTGAACTCTCCATTGTCCGTATGCTATACAGCACCTTGCATCCTGCTAGGGATAAATAAATATTTATTGGTAATGATATCAGATACCACCTTGCACCTGGAACCCCATCTTGGTCAAATGTGTTTTGGAAATTAAAATGTTTAGAATTCAAGCGTCAGAGTTCTGAAATTACGTAATAGCTGAATGTCAGCAAAACATTCTAGCTTACTAATCTCGACCTGAGAATGAATAATTATCCATGAAGTGTTGTTGGTTTTGGTTGTTGTTCTTCTCAGTAATTTATTTGCATAAAAGGCAGATCTGTTTATACTCTGCAAATCCTGCCATGTCATTCTGTTTTTGAAGATGCTGTTTTGCGCTGCTTGAAAAGTTCACTTTCGCGCATCTCTTTCTTGAAGTGCTGCTTTGAGGGCGGCACTGCAAGATCATTGAACTCTGTGCTTTCCATTCCAGTGCTGGGAAAGCCTTTCAGCATCATTGCCTTTTTCTCCCATCGATGGATTTTTGGTTGGAGTGCCTGCCGCTGGTATGGATGGGCAGGTTTCTTTTTTGGCATCGGAAGTCTTATCACCATGACAGCAGTCAGCCTGGATAGATATTTCAAAATCTGCTACTTATCGTATGGTAAGTGGGGTGGGGTGGGGAGGATTAATGTCCCTCCTTTATTTTGGAAACTAGAGAGTAAATTTCTCTTTCCATCAATTTAAGCCGCAAACTTTTGTTCAGAGGAATGTCATCCAAGAATTGTGTCCTTGTAAATGGGCAAGAATTAATAAAAATCCCTTTGTGCTCATAAAATTGATGTAGAAAACATCAGGAGGTCTAAAGTCATTTGAATAGTCAGATGGTTAGTTAAACATAACTGTAGTGTTATAATTACTTTAGAATTAGAATTTTGAGTGACTGCTATGAGTTGGATAAGATGGGTAGAAATTAAAAAGCAGACGAGAAATCCAAAAACTATACAGTTAGGCATAATAAACTAGAAAAGATTTCTTAAATCTTAGATTTAAAAAGTTTTTAGAAAATATCTGGCCAACAATATCACAGACCCAGATAAAACACAATCCAGATCTATTTCCACCCACGTGGAAACTCTGAGCAGTTCCACTCTGAGCCTTTTCTCCAGCCTGTGTATGTGTTTGTTCAAGTGTGAGTGCATGCGTGCACGAGAGAGAGATTTTTTGCCAGGATCCTGGCATTAGGGAAAGGGCCAAACACTGCTACTCATCTCACTGCTGGTCCAGATCCTGATTTGGATGCAATGCAACTGATTTAAAAGAATATTTAAAAGGGTGTGAAGGCAATGTTACCTGAAGGCGACAGACAGATCATAGAGATCAGAAATCTATAGAGCCCATGTCTGAGCAACTCTCTAGCAATGGGATAGCTGTGCCCTGACTCACCTTAACCCTCCAGTTTAAGAAGGCAGATTTCCTAAGCTCTGAAAAGAAGAGGAAGCAAAAGGGGCAAAACCTGAGAGGCCACATTTAGCTTACAGTATAATGTCATGCCCCCTTTGAATAATTCAGAGAAGCTATGAACTATGCCAAGCAGGGCACTCAAGATGGACAGGTCATAGTGGAGAGTTTTGACCAAACGTGATCCACCTGGAGTAGGAACCGGCAAGCCACTCCAGTATCCCTGCCAAGGAAACTCCATGGACAAAGACAACAGGCATATAAAAGTTATGATGCTGGAAGATGAGCCCCTCAGGTTGGAAGGCGTCCAACATGCTACTGAGGAAGAGCGGAGGACAAGTACAAGTAGATTCAGAGCTGATGAAGCAGCTGGGCCAAAGCCGAAAGGACGCTCAGTTGCAGATATGTCTGGAAGCGGAAGGAAAGTCCAGTGCTGTAAAGAAAAATATTGCATAGGAACCTGGAATGTAAGAACCATGAACCTGGGTAAGTTGGATGTGGTCAAAAATGAGATGGCAAGAATAAATATTGAAATCCTGGGCGTCAGTGAACTAAAATGGACGGGAATGGGCGAATTAAGTTCGGACGACCATCATATCTACTACTGTGGGCAAGAATCCCGTAAAAGAAATGGAGTGGCCCTCATAGTCAACAAAAGAGTGGCGAAAGCTGTACTGGGATGCAATCTCAAAAATGATAGAATGATCTCGATACGAATCCAAGGCAGACCTTTTAACATCACAGTAACCCAAGTTTGTCAGGGTGGCGCTGTGGGTAAAACCTCAGTGCCTAGGGCTTGCCGATCGCATGGTCGGTGGTTCGAATCCCCGCGGCGGGGTGAGCTCCTGTCTTTCGGTCCCAGCTCCTGCCCACCTAGCAGTTCGAAAGCACCCTTAAGTGCAAGTAGATAAATAGGTAAACGGCGTTTCCGTGTGCTGCGCTGGTGCTGGCTCACCAGAGCAGCTTCGTCACGCTGGCCACGTGACCCGGAAGTGTCTCCGGACAGCGCTGGCCCCTGGCCTCTTAAGTGAGATGGGCGCACAACCTAGAGTCGGACACGACTGGCTCGTACGGGCAGGGGTACCTTTACCTTTACCTTAACCCAAGTTTATGCACCAACTACTGGTGCTGAAGAAACTGAAATTGACCAATTCTATGAAGACTTACAACACCTTATAGAAATGACACCAGAGAAGGATGTTCTTCTCATTATAGGGGATTGGAATGAATGCTAAAGTAGGGAGTCAAGAGATAAAAGGAACAACTGGCAAGTTTGGCCTTGGAGTTCAAAACGAAGCAGGGCAAAGGCTAATAGAGTTCTGCCAAGAGAACAAGCTGGTCATCACAAACACTCTGTTCCAACAACACAAGAGACGACTCTACACATGGACATCACCAGATGGGCAGCATCGAAATCAGATTGATTATATTCTCTGCAGCCAAAGATGGAAAAGCTCTATACAGTCAGCAAAAACAAGACCTGGAGCTGACTGTGGCTCAGATCATCAGCTTCTTATAACAAAATTCAAGCTTAAACTGAAGAAAGTAGGAAAAACCACTGGGCCGGTATTCAAATCCCTTATGAATACACAGTGGAAGTGAGGAACAGGTTTAAGGATTTAGATTTGGTGGACAGAGTGCCTGAAGAACTATGGATGGAGGCTCTCAACATTATACAGGAGGCAGCAACGAAAACCATCCCATTCCATGTATGGAAGTGAGAGCTGGACCATAAAGAAGGCTGATCGCCAAAGAATTGATGCTTTTGAATTATGGTGCTGGAGGAGACTCTTGAGAGTCCCATGGACTGCAAGAAGATCAAACCTCTCCATTTTTAAGGAAATCATCCCTGAGCGCTCACAGGAAGGACAGATTCTGAAGCTGAGACTCCAATACTTTAGCCACCTCATGAGAAGAGAAGTGTGATGGCCTGGGAATTGGATTCAGAGGCTGAACCTGAGGAACCCCAGCCTGCACTGCCAGGGCCGGCTGAGCCAGGGCTGGGGCTTGAACCTGAAGGGCCCTCACCTGTGCCGGATCCTCAGGAGTAGACACCAGCTGAATCCACTCTGGCTCCGGAGGTGATCGGGGACCCATTGCCTGCAGGTGCTCCACTATCAGCCCTGTCAGGGGAAGGTGAGATTGCCTCTGGGTCCAGTAACCCTCCAGCCTCTCCTGAGCTGCAGAGGCTCAGGGCAGAGAGGCAGAGGGAACTAAGTTCTCGCAGGAGGAGTGCTCGCCTTAAGGCCAGGAGAGGCGAGTCACCTGTGGGCCGGGACCGCCCTATGCCTCAGAAGAGATAAAGGCCAGTCAGCCCAGTCCCAGGTTGCGGGAGCAACATCGTTGGTAACCTGTTCCTGCTGGCACCCTGTCCTGCTCTTCCAGAGTTCCTGACCACGCCTGGCTCCTGGCCTTGGACCCCGCTTCGCCCTTGACGGACAGCCTCCATACTCTCGACCCAGGACCAGACTCAGACCACGCCGCATGGTAACCCTCCCCCCCCGGGACCAGCACAAAGAAGACTCCCTGGAAAAGACACTGATGTTGGGAAAGATGGAGGGCACAAGGAGAAGGGGACAACAGAGGATGAGATGGTTGGACAGTGTTCTCGAAGCTGCCAGCATGAGTTTGACCAAATTGTGGGAGGCAGTGGAAGACAGGAGTGCCTGGCGTGCTCTGGTCCAGGGGGGTCACGAAGAGGCGGACACAACTAAACGACTCAACAACATAATGTCATGCAGATTCCCTGTAAAGTGCAAGTATGCAAAGAGCAGCAATTCCACAATAGATGTGGAAGGAGCCTAATGTGTGGGGGTTGTGATCTTGCGCCCCTGGCAGAACCATCTAGATTGCGCCTCCCAGACACGGACAAATTAGCTCTTCTTTCTGCCTCTCCTCCAACCCCCCTCTCCATCCATTCAATTCCTCACACACTTCAGTTGCTCACACACTAATCAATATTTTTATTTATAGATGTATTTATGGACATATTTTAGCCCATTTTGTGCGCGCGCCCCTCGCCTGCCTAGCGGGGGCCTTCCTCCCCCCCCCAGCTACAGCCCTGTGTTTTCATGGGGTCACTGCCATATGAGGAGGGCACCGAGATCAATGGGAGGGGCCCGTACAATTATGCCAAACCTCCATGGTTGGTAATTTAAACATTCTCCCAGGGACTTTTAAAAGGTCTGATAAATTGGATTACTCACATGTGTACATGTACAGTGGTACCTCGGGTTAAGTACTTAATTCGTTCTGGAGGTCCGTTCTTAACCTGAAACTGTTCTTAACCTGAAGCACCACTTTAGCTAATGGGGCCTCCCGCTGCCACTGCGGCGCTGCCACATGATTTCTGTTCTCATCCTGAAGCAAAGTTCTTAACCTGAAGCACTATTTCTGGGTTAGCAGAGTCTGTAACCTGAAGCGTATGTAACCTGAAGCATATGTAACCCGAGGTACCACTGTATATTTATTGCATAGGCATGTTTTTAGCATTTACTTAGCAATAATACATTTATTCTTTTCTAGGTACTTGGCTAAAGAGATGCCACGCCTTTATCTGCTTGGGAATAATCTGGTCCTATGCTACGTTTTGGGCAACAATACCATTTGCTGGCTTGGGAAATTATGCTCCAGAACCATTTGGGACCTCGTGCACCCTGGACTGGTGGCTAGCTCAAGGTTCTGTGGCTGGACAGGCTTTTATTATGAATATCCTTTTCTTCTGTCTCTTATTCCCAACTGCAGTGATCATGTTTTCCTATATTAAAATAATAGCAAAGGTCAAGTCATCCACAAAAGAAGTAGCTCATTATGACACCAGGATTCAAAAAACCCATGTGCTGGAAATGAAGTTAACTAAGGTGGGTACAGGACTCCCAGTGGTTTTTGGAAGTCATCTGCTTGGACTGAAGGATAAAAGTTCAATCAAACTTTTGCCTGCTCACCCAGAGAGCATAGGCATATTTTTGTGCGCTGTTATGTCCAAATCACAGTTTTGTATCCATCTAAATCACGCGGATGACACTGTGGGTTAAACCACAGAGCCTAGGACTTGCTGATCAGAAGGTCGGCGGTTCGAATCCCTGTGACAGGGTGAGCTCCCATTGCTCGATCCCAGCTCCTGCCAACCTAGCAGTTCGAAAGCACAAAGTGCAAGTAGATAAATAGGTACCACTCCAGCAGGAAGGTAAACAGTGCTTCCGCGCACTGCTCTGGTTCACCAGAAGCGGCTTAGTCATGCTGGCCACATGACCCGGGAGCTGTACGCCGGCTCCCTCGGCCAATAAAGCAAGATGAACACTGCAACCCCAGAGTCGTCCACAACTGGACCTAATGGTCAGGGGTCCCTTTACCTTTACCTAAATCACACGCAGAATAGAAGTCACTCGACTTGGGCTAGCCATGTCCATGGATTTCAGAGGGCCTTCTCCAAGCCTGACTGGTGGATTATTCACCATCCATGGGGTGAACGGTATGTCTCCCTCCCATCCGTACCCCATAGAGGGTGATGGGTGGGTGGGAAAATATCATACAATCTGCCACATCCATGTGATTCGCCTGCCTATTATTGGAGCATCATGGAAGAAGACAGAGGCTGTTGCAATATTGTATGAATTAGCCCTAACCTTCAGTGGAGTCCTTCCATTCTAATTTTTGCCTCTGTTATATATATTTTTTATCTTATTCTTAACCTTAAGCATAGATGTCTGCCAAAATAATGTCTGTGTTATACCAAGTGGAAATAGATCTGAATATAAATGTCAAAACTTAAATAAATGTGTTCTGGTTTTCTCAATGTGAAAAAAACCAAAATCTGTTTGATTCACAGTAACTGCCTTTTGTTATACAGCTCACAATGTACAGTATATTCACATGTCTATTATACTAAGTGGGGTTTTATCCTCATCATTTCATGAAATGAATCTTCTCACCAGGTGGCGATGTTGATCTGTGCAGGATTCCTAATTGCTTGGATACCCTATGCAGTTGTCTCCGTGTGGTCAGCGTTTGGAAGGCCAAATTCAGTTCCCATCAAAGTTTCTGTGATCCCAACCTTACTTGCAAAGTCTGCCGCTATGTACAACCCTGTCATTTACCAAGTCATTGACTGCAAATCTGCCTGTTGCCGGCCATGTCCTCTCAAGCCACTGCAGAAGAAAACCTCCTTAAAGAGATCCCAGTATGTTTTTCAGAAATGGCCAATTTCTGCATGCTGTTGTCAGAGTACTGGTGTGAGTTTGGGGGGGTCAGTCTGTTTGAAACCTGAGTCCCTTCTAGATTACGGGTCCTGGATCCAGTAAGGGTTGTATATATGTAGGAATAACCCAAATAGCATAAAGACGCTACAGTCTTCACATCTCCTCCTTCCAAGGAAGGCAAAGGCCTAGGACCCCGGAATCTCTCACTGCTCGGAGGCTGGGGTGGCATGAAACAGTACTTTTCCAAAGACGTGTAGGACTTGTGGGATTGAAACCTATTTCTGAAAATACATGGGGATGTAACATGACAACAATATGAGCCAGGGGACCAAACTTGAAGTGATGGAAGGCCCAATAATTCATATATTGAGGGTGAGGATTAGCATTTAAGGAATGCAGACATACGCCCCCCCCAACATATTCCTTCCTCCACCCCAAGCACTATTCATCCAGCTGAATATACTTCTGGTATCAGGATCAGTGGAGGAGGAAAAAGTGCTTAACAACAACAACAAAAGCTGTAGAAAGTAAGTTAATCTTATGGGCAGGAGGGTTTTGTATTCCGCATTAATTTTTTACCCAATTCTGTTCGAGTTCTGTGTTTTAACATATGGAAATGCTGTATTTACATGAGATACTCCTGTATTTTAGTTGTTTTAACATTTATTCAGATTTTAGGTGTCTCAAGATAGCAGTTTTGTGGGACATTTGATAAATACACACTCATTTTCCTTGATTGTACTCAGATATTACTTGGGATTCAGTTGTGCAATCTAAAGAGGGAGGAAAAGTCTGGGTGAACACCTTATTTATTATTTAACATTAATCAAGATTAATATGACATCAAGGTCATATGACATTATTTTATTTCTTCCCATAGGCCGTATACAATTTCTGCAGATAACAATTCTGAAGTAATTAATGAAACTCAACTGGACAGCGAAGAAACTCTGTAAACAGTAATTTTAACCTACCAAGCAACTCTTTTCTTAATTGCTTCCTTTACAATGTTTAACATTAATTTAGCTCTATTTTGCTGTGTTTTTGTTTGCATGCATTTTTCCATGCCAAGTGAAGGATCCCCCCCAAAAAATAATCGTTTTGTTTGTGTATAAGAATGTAAACACAAGCTTCATTCTTGCAAAGTGCTTGCCATTGACAAGGTTGACATCTGCTCTGCTCTGCTTTCATTCATTAAAATATATTCACTCTGGTCAGCAACAGCCATACATAAGCAGCAGACTTCATTGGGCAAATGACTGAAGGTCAGCCCCCGCAGAAAGGTTGTTTACGATGTGTGTTTCTTATTGAGTTGAAAATTGTTAAACAGAATTGCAAGAGTAATGGGTGTCTCTCTGTGTGGGCTGTTGGCTCACTCCCACTTACTGGGCATCCGGTTGCTCCCACCAGTAATTTGTGTTGCTGTGCACACATGACATCAGCCACAGTTCACTTCTAACTGGTAGTTCCTTGAGAATTACTGTGTTTTTATGTGTCCTACCACCTTTGATCCAATTTGAAAAGGACATCTATGTTCCCTCTTCACCCGCTGACGTGAACAGAACATGAGATTAGAGACACAGCAAAGGGGAGGAAAGGTCCAACTTCACTGTGTTTTAAGCTGGTGGTGTGTACATAGTCATAGTCTTCATTTGCCGTAGAAAATATATAATATCTATGAAAATGTACTTGCAGAACAATAAGAAAATTGCAATGCAACATGTTCAAGATATGAGTAGAAGTAGTGGTTCAAAATTTGTTGTTGTGTGCCTCTTCCCATGCCTTCTGCAGCAAGTACTTTTCTCTAGTCCAGGAAAGAGGTCTCTCTGTGCATTAAAGTGCTGCTGAGGGGATGGCCATTTAGTCCCTTGGAGCTTCTGGGCTGTGCGCCATGCAAGCGGGGCAGCACATCAGAGGGGGCTGGATTGAGGGCTAAGGATCCATCCTTTCAGAGTTCCTTCTCAAAACCACATCCCACTTTAGATCTGGAGCAATATTGATTGCCTCCTGCTCTAGGTACGTAGATTGCTGAGACTGCAGCACCATGTATGGATGATTTATTACCGCGAGGCAGATAGTGTGAAAATGGTGTTATTAGATGGCTTTCTTTTAAAAGGTAACTGCATGTTAAAGCAAGGGACGCGAGCGGCGCTGTGGGTTAAACCAAAGAGCTCCTGTTGCTCGGTCCCTGCTCCAGTGTGGTGTCCCAGAGACAGTGTGGTGTAGTGGTTAAGAGCGGTAGTCTCGTAATCTGGGGAACTGGGTTCGCGTCTCCGCTCCTCCACATGCAGCTGCTGGGTGACCTTGGACCAGTCACACTTCTTTGAAGTCTCTCAGCCCCACTCACCACACAGCGTGTTTGTTGTGGAGGAGAAAGGGAAAGGAGAATGTTAGCCGCTTTGAGACTCCTTCGGGTAGTGATAAAGTGGGATATCAAATCCAAACTCTTCTTCTTCTTCCTCTCCTGCCAACCTAGCAGTTCGAAAGCACATCAAAGTGCAAGTAGATAAATAGGTACTGCAGGAAGGTAAACGGCATTTACCTTCCTTGGCCAATAAAGCGAGATGAGCGCCGCAACCCCAGAGTCGGCCACGACTGGACCTAATGGTCAGGGGTCCTTTTACATTTACCTTTTACATGTTAAAGCATTCACCAGATTTACTACAGATGTGGGAAGGTTCTTTTATTGCCATCTTTGCCAAAACTTTCATTTAAGAAAACAGGTCCTCAAAGAAATTAGAACACGTTTGATGAATGTTTTCTTTGGCGTTTCTTTGATGTTCCCATGAACATCTGTGCTAAGCAGTGAAAGGTTAGCAAAATTTAAGATACCCTTTCTTCTTCTTCTTCTTCTTCTGCCACATCTGGCCTGTCCTCCTCTGTCAGGCAGCACCAACTCCCCGCCCCCATCACTGGTCCCCTCTCCTGGGTCACTCCTGGTCTCCTGCCTCCACCCCACAATCTTGGGGCCCCTGATATCTTGTACGAAACACATAGATGAGCTATGGTATGTTGCATTTGTTTAACAGAACCGCATAAGAAATAAAAAGTAACACATTTTGTTATTTTTATAGAAGTTTAATTAAAAATCAGTTTTCTCTTTTGATACAAAATTACACAAGCTGGTAAATTTTGGCAAGATACTGAGAATAGTGCCCTCCCCCCAGAAGATAAACATAACAAAACTTCAGAATAATTGAGAGCATTCATCAGGTTATCATCGCCCAATCTACACTTCTAATATAAAATGTATATTAGTTACCACCCTACGAATAACTGCATATAGGACAATACTAATAATCTGGATTCCTTGACAATTTTCAGTGAGCCAAACAGCTGATGGTTACAACAAAATAATAAAGCTGTATAAGGAATCCTAATACAATGAACCCTGTAAAATAATGTAAATATGTGCCGATTAGCATAGTTAATCAACACTATAACTCATACGGCCCATTCCGTAATTTTGTACTGGAGTATGTGCTGGTATGTTATGTTGTGCTATAATGTGAAGAGCATGCAAATTGGTGAAATACAACCTTCACACAAATATTGGCTCCAGTGGGCTCTCTTTCAGTCCCTAAAATGGTCTGGGGGACTTCAATGCACTGCTGTTCCAGAGTTCTCAGTTTCTTATGGAACCTGCAGCTCTCCCCTCCAAATCCCACTGTAATGAATGCAAGAAGTTTTTGATGGATCAAGTGTATTACAATACACTTAAATGCTCCATGAAACAGATGGCAATATTGAAGCCTACAGTAGTATCTCCCATTAACTGGACTGAATACTAATTGCTATCTTTGATAAACACACAATATTTTGCATCTCCTCAAATTCAGCACCACAGAACCGCCCCCAGGACCAGCACTGCCCCAGTGCAGATGGTGGAGTTTATGGCTTGGTTGTGATGGCAGCTCTGCAAATGGCAAGGAATGCAAAAGGCATCCTTAAGCAACTTAGAAAGGGCTTCCCAGGATCACAGTTTTGGTGGTAAAAGCCTGGCATTAAATAAAAGTCTGAGGAAGTTTAAATCTCTACTTTGTTTCCGTATAATGAACAACAGCACTGAAATAACAACATGGAATGTAAAGTTTGCATTTCATTTTGCATAGCATATTTGATACTCTCTTGTTAAGAACAGAGTGAGGATTAAATGAACGTTTCTCATTCGTCTGCCGTCCTCAAGGGAAGGCAGCCGAAGCACCACATCCAACACCCAGCCAGGTTTGCCCTCTAGCACAGCTCTCTTTCTCCAGGCTTTTAAGTGGGTGATTTCTGTCCCACTGGAAACAATGGGAGGATCTCTTCTCAATCCAAGATCAAGTTTAGGAAACAATAGGAGGAAAGCTCATTCCGCTAGGTCTCTGGGTTGGCAGGGGATGGAGGAATGAGAAGGTGCTGAATCCCTCAGGTCCAAGCTTTGTTGTGATGCTCCAACAGTTTCAACCTATAGGTACTTCCAGTTGTTCCCTAAATGAGAAATATGGCCTTCACCTCAGCTTCCTTTCAACTGATGGAAAATCATATGAATTGTCACAAAGAGTCGGACGACTAAACAACAACAACAGCAACAAAATAACAGCATAGCTATACATTGAAATGTCTGCAGGTTGTAGTTATGCGGTGGGATTTTTAGGATCTTATTTTTTTGCAGAAGACACTGCTGCACATTCCATGTCAATAAATATTTTTAAGTCCCTCAGCAGGACTTAAGACCCAGGAGACCAGGGTTCAAATCCCGACTGAGCCATGAAACTCACACGGGTTGACCCTGGGCTAGTCATAATCTCTTAACCCAAACCTATCTCACAGGATTATTATGAAGATAAACTGGGGAAGAGGCGAATCATGTTCACCACCTTGAGGTTCTGAAAGAATAATTGGATGTAAACAGTTGGGCCTACTCTGAGTAAAAGTTAGTTGGCTACAAATTTATGCAGATTATGCTAATGGGGGGCTTTAAAAAATACTGCCTTTGCATGTTCTTTTTTCTCTAACCCATATTTTTAAAATGGAAGGTGGGGCTGATTGTTTCCAAACTCAGTGTCCTTTTTGTGGAAACCTCCAATCCAACAGAAACTATTATTCCCTATGATTATGAATTGATGGTAATAATAATAGTTTATCAGAATTTATCAGCGATGGTGGAATTTAACTCACAGCTATTAAAAACCTATCCCACAAACATATTAACCAACATATTAACAATGTCCTAGTTCTTTTATGTAATGTTCTTTCTTTCTTTCTCTTTCTTTCTTTCTTTCTTTCTTTCTTTCTGTCTCTCTCCCTCTCCCTCTCTTCAGTTGTGTTTTATTGTCCCTGAAGTTAACACTAGGGGAAACTACCATGACTTTTCATGTTCCATCTGCATCAGGAGTTCAGAGAAAATGTGTGATCATCCACCTCAAAAGGGCCACCTCACATAAGTATTTCTGATACCACTGCTCAATTTATATTGGAACCAGGAATTAGAAGCAACATGGAAAACGCCTCCAAGAGATGTAAATGTATTTGTAAATACCAGCCTTTCTCACAAGCCCTCAAGAGATTCCACCTCCCTTGTACAGAAGCTGATGGGAGCTGTTGGTAGGAAGCATGGAGGAAGCTATCTCCCCCCCCCCCATCTCTCCCCTTAACTTCCCTCATCCTATTTCCCCCCTCCATATGTATGTGTGTGTGTATATATATATATATGTGTGTGTGTGTGTGTATATATTCAAGCAACGTGTAAATAGTCAGAAAGACCTGCAGGATGCTGAACACTTCTGAAATTCAGGTTACATTTCTATGCCTAAATAATTCAGCCTTAAATGAATTTTTTAGGAACCTAAATTTAGCAATCCACTTTCCACAATCTTTGCATCCAATGTGGAGTTTTCTTGTTGTTCAATGACATGGAAAGGCAGCATAGGAATTATTATGAGGGTCCAGTCCCCGTGAATGTAACTAACTGGGCCAGAGTGCTGGTGGCCACATCGCTGCCATCTGCTCCTCTGAGGCCGTTTCCTGATTTTGGAACATCAAATAGTGAAGTGAGTAGTTTCTCCCTCAACCTCGTGTAAGTCAACTTGAATGTGCTTCTTCCCCGCTTCCTGCTCCCGACATTCTCTATTATTCTACATGGAGGTTGCCTTCGAACCCTTCAGATGCTCTGACGCTTATTGGGATGGGGTGTTACTGTCCTTGATAACCTTAAACTGGAAAGGCAGCCTTCAAATATAAAACTATCTCCCTGCCTCCTGTCTCTTATGCTACTTACTGGCACCAGTTTTAACTTCAAGTAGGACTTTGACTTCCAGGTTTTGGAAGTGGGAGCCAACTAAGAAAACGTTCACTTTTGGGGGGTGGGTGGGTGTGAGGGAGGGAGGGACCACTTGCTACTCACTAACATATCTGCTAATGCTGCTCAGTGCCATTTTCCCAGGCCAGGGCTTCTTTCTCACAGCCCATAGGGGTTGTACTGAATGTGATGTTGCATAGGCAATTTGATTTGGTTGCGTGCTGCTCTCACTGGGGCAAGAAAACCTGTGTAGAACAAACTCGAAGGCAATGATTTCTGGACTGCTCAATTGTGTAATCCTAGCCAAAGAGGCCATGACCTGACTTGAGGGTCACCTCCTGGACCAAAGCTGCTTAGCTAGCCACCAGTTTCCATATTTCCTGAATGTTTTTGTGCTGATTTGATGTTTGTGTGTGTGTATTTCAAAATGTATATTTGAGGGAGAAAAGGCATTTTGAAATAACAGTGCTGGTTCCAGGTTTCTTGGGGTCTCATTATTGCTGCCGCTATGCCAGCACATTCACTAGATCATATTGGTGGTAACAGTAGCTAGTGTTATTTTTCAAAGCTTCTTGGCTTTAAAGAAGCCCCCAAACCTGTTTGGCTACCAAAACCAGCTTCCTGCACAAACCTTTTCATGAGTTATCATGTATCCATGTTCACATGTCCTTATGAAATGGTAGCTTCAGAAACAATGCCAAAGAATGGGCCACGTGAATCAATAAATGGCATTCAAGGATTTAGATACTGAAAGGAACAACACAGGCCCCAAATATAGCTGAGTTGAATACACACAGAGATACAAAATATATTTTACATACACATAGAAGAAACTATGGCAGTGCAGATGCAGTCCAAGAAACTGGTTGTGGATGAGCGTCCTCACCTGCCCTGCCATGTGGACGCTCAGGCACACCCGAAGGCGGTATCATGAGAAAGGGGCCTCTTCCGCCCCACTTCCAAGGGCACCGCGGATGTTGCTGCACAGCCAGGTGGGACCTCACATCCAGACCCTGCAGGCAGAGCTGCCAATCTGGCAAGCAAAACAGTCTGCGGGGATTGCACCTTTATTTATATATTTTCTTAGGCAGCAATTCTGCTAGTCATGGAATAGATGGTTACATGTGGGGTTCCAAGGGAGATTTGTGATGCAATGCTGGGGCATGGATTTCTTGAAGATGTCTGCCTGCAATGGTTTGGCATCTGCAAGTGCCGTGGTGTGAGTTGGACATTCAGAACAGCTGTCAATCTCTCCCTTACATGGGATGATATTCCTTTATGCTTGATCACTTTAGTCTAGCCTTAGAAACATAGAACTGTAGAACTGGAAAGCATCACAAGGGTCATCTAGTCCTACCCCCTGCAATGCAGGAATCCTTTTGCCCAACGTGGGGTTCGAACCCACAGCCCTGAGATTAAGAGTCTCATGCTCTTTCCAACTGAGCTATCCCGCTAAGTTGATGGGGGGGAAAGGAGGGGGGGTTTGCATGTTTTTGTAACATTTTTTTATAAATTGCAAATCAATGGCCTCCATACATTTGACTTGGATGAATATGAGCCAGACAAAAGTTTTAAGGCTGGATATTGACTGCGCACAATGTCTGCTTCCTGGGCAGGCACATTCTTTGTTCACTCACTCATTTTGAAGAAAACACCTCGCTTCCTGTTATTTTTCAGACCTCAGCTAGCTGCACAATTTCCAAAAGAGTAGTTGGCCTATGATGGTTGATGAGGAAATCCTGATCGGTCAAAGGGAAGGGAGGACTGTCCACAGGGCTGCAGAGTGTATGAAGCATTACACTTACAGTGTAAAGCAGAACAGCTATTATTTGTTTCTGCTAAAATGTTAATATCCAAAAGGAAGGAAGGAAGGAAGGAAGGAAGGAAGGAAGTCTTATAGAAAGTCCTAGTGCCCATGCATAGGTTTTATGCCATAGCAGAGAAGCCTAATCATGTTGAGCATGCATACAGGCAGCGCATCAAAGCACATCAGCAGGCACAAGGCATCATGGGAGAGAGGTTGCTATCAAGATGGCACCCGTAAAGGCAAGTTGGGTTGAGTGAAAGAGTGATATGAGACTCTAAGATCTTTGTCCACACTGCTGCTTCTCCCAAGCCCAGAAAGCAGGGGACCAAGCAGTTTCCCACTTGACCCACCCTTCCTAGGCATGAGCGGTTTCCCCCTTGCCTCACTCCTTTCCCATGGAATGGAAAATTCATTCTTTAGTTCTAAATTGGAACAAACAGCAATCCAGAGAAAACCCAAATTGCCGTTTGCTCTGCATGAGCAGTAAGAGCTGCTTTCCCTGGGGTGGGGTGGGGGGAAGCAGTGGGACAGACAAGTTGAAGCATGGATGAGCCCACTAGCAAATGCTGTAAGACAATTTTGTAGGCAATCCAGCCCAGGAAGACTGACACAGTCACCGTGCATCCCATTCTGCAAAGATTTATTATTTATTTATTTTGCAATGGACAAATATTCTTCAGAACCTTTCAGTTGACTACACGCAGAAAAATCTCCATGAAGCTACATTCCAGTGGAAATGTAGTCCTGTGAAACAGACCAAGCACAGTGATTTCCCCAGAAGATGGCTATGACATGTTAGACACATCTATGACGCTAGGCAAAAAAATTCATGGACGTCCCATGCCAATATTCGTAATGTACTTACAAAATTGACATCCTTCAAAGCGGCAGAGATGGGATGGATGGCTCTCTGAGAAATGTACGCAGTATGGATGAAAACATCTGTGCAGTCACTAATGGAAGCAGTCCATCAATAGTATAGATGGAGGCTCCCCATCCCTGATTTATACTTCCTTGAAAACCCTCAAGGAAGAGCTGGAAGAGAACACAATGGATATTGAATTCCACCAACTTCAAAAAATGTACCGGAAGATGTTAGTATAAAAGTGGCCTGAGATTGTACCATTGGTTTGACATCCCAAAACCATGTCGACAGCACTGAAGCAAATATGAGAACACAATCACTTCCTCCCAAGGTTCCCAGTACTTCCACCTCATCAATCAGTTCCTCCCTGTTGGTGAGGAGCAGGTCCAAAACATGATGATCCCCTTGTTCCTTCTTCCACCTTCTTGGAAATGAAATTGTCAGTGAGGCAATGGAAGAATTTTTTGGACCTTACATTCCTGGCAAAGTGTGAGTTCCAACAAATACTGGAGAAGTTGAAGTCCCCCATATTATTATTATTATTATTATTATTATTTCCCCACCCATCTGGCTGAGTCTGAGTTTCCCCAGCCACTCTGGGTGGCTCCCAATCAAGTGTTAAAAACAGTACAGCATTAAATATTAAAAACCTCCCTAAAGACAGGCTAGCTGCTTATTTCCTTTACATCTGAAGGGAGGGTGTTCCACAGGGCAGGTGCCACTAGTGAGAAGGCCCTCTGTCTGGTTCCCTGTAACCTCACTTCTCGCAATGAGGGAACCTCCAGAAGGCCCTAGGCGCTGGATCTCAGAGTCCGGGCTGAACAATGGGGGTGGAGATGCTCCTTCAGTTTTACAGGACCGAGGCAGTTAAGGGCTTTAAAGGTCAGCACCAACACTTTGAATTGAGCTTGGAAACGTACTGGGAGCCAATGCAGATCTCTCAGGACCGATGTTATGTGGTCCCAGCGGCCACTCCTAGTCACCAGTCTAGCTGCTGCATTCTGGATTAATTGCAGCTTCCGGGTCACCTTCAAAGGTAGCCCCAAGTAGAGCGCATTGCAGTAGTCCAAGCGGGAGATAACTAGAGCATGCACCACTCTGGCAAGACAGTCTGCGGGCAGGGAGGGTCTTAGCCTGCGTTCCAGGTGGAGCTGATAGACAGCCGCCCTGTCAGGGGCACAGTTACCCGATTCAGGACCAGGGAATCCCCCACACCTGCCTGCCCCTGTCCCTCCAAAACAGTACTTCTGTCTTGTCAGGATTCAACCTCAATCTGTTAGCCGCCATCCATCCTCCAACCTCCTCCAGGCACTCACACAGGACCTTCACCGCTTTCACTGGGTCTGATTTAATGGAGAGGTAGAGCTGGGGGTCATCTGCATACTGATGAACACCCAGCCCAAACCCCCTGATTATCTCTCCCAGCGGCTTCATATAGATATTAAAAAGCATGGGGGAGAGGACGAAACCCTGAGGCACCCCACAAGTGAGAGCCCAGGGGTCTGAACACTCATCCCCCAACACCACTTTCTGGACACGGCCCAGGAGGAAGGAGCAGAACCACTGTGCTCCCAGCTCCTCAAGACGGTCCAGAAGGATGTTATGGTCGACAGGCAGCTGAGAGATCCATCAGAACTAGGAAACAGCTCTCACCTTTGTCCCTAGCCCAACGGAGATCATCAACCAGTGCGACCAAGGCAGTTTCAGTCCCATGGTGAGGCCTGAATCCCGATTGGAAGGGATCCAAATGGTCTGCTTCTTTCAGGCGTTCCTGGAGTTGTTTGGCAACCACCCGCTCAATCACCTTTCCCAAGAATGGTAGATTTGAGACTGGGCGATAGTTGGCCAAATTGGCTGGGTCTAAAGATGTTTTTTTAAGAAGCGGTTTAATGACTGCCTCTTTCAGCAGGTCTGGGAAGGCTCCCTCACAGAGGGAAGCATTCACCACCCCGCAGAGCCCATCGCCCAGCCCTTCCCGGCTCGCTTTTATCAGCCAGGACGGGCAAGGATCAAGGAGACAAGTGGTTGGTTTCACTTGTCCAAGCAGCCTGTCCACATCCTCGGAGGTAACAGATTGGAATTGATCCCATGTAACAGGACTAGACAGAACTCTAGCACTCTCCCGCCCTGGCCCTGCTCCCACGGTGGAGTCTACCTCCTTCTGAATCTGAGCGACTTTATCTGCAAAAAACTTTGCAAAAGCATTGCAGGAGATCTTGGGGTCCCTACCAGGCCCTGGTGGTGCAGGTGGTTCCGATAGATTGCGAACCACCTGAAAAAGTCTCCTGCTGCTGTTTTCTGCAGATGCAATGGAGGCGGTGAAGAAGGCCCTCTTCGCCGTCGCCATTGCCACTTGGTAGGCTCGACGTTGAGCTCTAGCCTGTGTCTGGCCTGATTCAGAATGAGTTTTCCGCCACCGGCACTCTAGCCGTCTCAACGATTGTTTCATCGCCCTCAGCTCTGGGGAAAACCACAGGGCTGTCCGGGCTCCATGCAATCGGAGAGGGCGCTTCAGAGCCAGACAGTCAATAGCCCTGGTTAACTCCGCATTCCAGCGGGCCACCAGGGAATCAGCTGAAAGGCCATCAACTTGGGATAAAACATCCCCTACCACTCTCTGGAAGCCAACTGGATCCATTAAGTAGCAGGGGCGGACTATCCGAATCGGTCCCACCTCCCTGCAGAGGGGAAGGGTCGCAGAGAAGTCCAGTTGCACCAGGAAGTGATCTCACCATGGCACTTCTTTTGTTTCACTTTTAGTTAGTGTCAGATCACCAAACTTATTCAGCAACAGCCCCATGGAGACCATGCTTTCCACAAAGTCCCGAGCAGCCCCTTGTAAGGTCGTGTCGGCATGGATTTTAAAATCCCCTAGGACAACCAAACTAGGTGTCTCCAGGAGAACATCCACCATGACCTGAAGCAGCTCGGGCAGGGAATCCTTGGTGCAGCGGGGAGGTCAGTACACCAATAGGAATCCTGTACTGCCCTTATTGCCCAACTTCCAGAACATGCACTCAGAAAACTGGGTCTTCCCAATAGGACGCCTGGTGCAGACTAATGACTTCCTAAAAATCACTGCAACGCCCCCTCCCCGCCCACATGACCTGGGTTGCTGTGCATAAGAGAAACCTGGGGGGGGGGGTCAAGCAGTGGCAAGGTCAGGCCCATCTGCTTCATCCAACCAGGTCTCTGTCACACATGCCAGGTCAAATCCACAATCAGGTCGTGGATGGCAGTGGCTTTATTCATCATTGACCTGGCATTGCACAGCAACACTTTCAGGTCATGTGGGTTTCCCTTGCTGATTCCAGTATCCTTCCGGTCAGGACCAGACTTGGAGGCAGGAATAGTCCTCAAACAATGACTAAGCCTGCTACATCTCTCCTTTTTGAATGTTTAGTAACCTGCTGTAGGAAGGCATCATCCAAGTCTTCAGTCTGGCTTGGAGGTCTATATAGCAGACCCCCACAATAAGGTCACTGGTCTTTTTCTCTCCTACATTTTTTACCCATATACAGCGGTACCTCGGGTTAAGAACTTAATTCGTTCTGGAGATCCAGTTAAGAACCTGAAACTGTTCTTAACCTGAGGTACCACTTTAGCTAATGGGGCCTCCCGCTGCCACTGTGCGATTTCTGTTCTCATCCTGAAGCAAAGTTCTTAACCCGAGGTACTATTTCTGGGTTAGTGAAGTCTGTAACCTGAAGCGTCTGTAACCTGAGGTACCACTGTACTCTCCATCTGCCTTCTATGCTCCAGGTCACGGATCCCTTCACAAGTGCA